TCGGTTTTGATCTCGACGGGCGACAATACCGGCGACGAGACGTCGTCGGTCTCCATTTTGACGTGCGACTGCGAGCCCAGCATGTCGGCGTTCTCCGGGTCCAGCTTTTGTATACTCGAGGTAATATCCTCCCAGAGCGGCGGCCTGAGGAACACGTCGTCGTCGTTTCCCGCGGGCTGACTCCTCGACGAGACGAAGCTCGCCTGCGGTCGACACACCGGCCCACCAACCTCGAAGAAGTCCTCCATTTGCACCGAGGACTCCCTCGGCTCCTTCTCCGGGTCATCTTCGTCGAGCTTCTGCAGTCGGTCGAGATCCTGTCTACATAGCAAAGTGTCCAGGTCCGATGCCTGCTGGAAATAGAAGATGGACAAAGTGGAGAATACGAGTGGAGAGTTTCAGTTGCGTTTGCGCGCGATTTTGCACCATCACGATGCTCCGTCTTCGCCTGGCAATGTCGGATCGTCGCTCGTGCGAATCGAAAGCCGAACAAGCAAATAGCGCGATGGGTCGGGAAGGACGATATTTGGGGCCAGTCGGAGCCGGTGTAGCTTAAGCAAGCAGCAAACAGGTAAACAAGCGGGTGACTTGCGATATGCTGATTCACGAAAGCGCATGCGGCACGTTGTTCTCGGTTAATATGCAACGACCGCATCGAGGGCTGTGCAGCATGAGGTCTCCCACACTGCACGCCTTCGTATGCCAGTTCTATGATGCATATAACGACTGTATAGCACAGCCGAAGGGAGAGAAGAGGAGACGAAAAGAAAGAAAGGGGAGTAGAGACAGCACAGTTTCGTCTCGAAGATGGGAGGGAGCGGGCCAATGCCGCGTCATTCTTTGCATGATTTGTACACGCGCAACGCGCGCCGCCCTCGTGCGCCGTTCTGTGCGGGCCATGCTGTGCCTCGACTTGCCTTTGCCTTGCCTTGCCTTGCCTTGCCTTGCCTCGCCGTGCTCTCCACGCTTTCGACGACTGCTCGTACTCTGCTCGCTCAGACCGCATAACATTCCGAATATTTTAATGCGTCGCTATACAATCGCTATATGTAACGCCCCTTTCGCGCCCCCCTCTATCTCTCTTTCTCCTCTTCCTTTCACCTGGATGCGTGCACGAGCAGTGGCTTTATCATTTTCACGCCGGTTCGATAAAATACGATGCCTCGGGAAGTGGACGAAGGACGAGGCACAAGGTAGGTAGGTACTTACCTATATGTTTCCATAAGCATAGAAACGAGATCAGGCGGGCGTACACTTTGAAAGTTCAGCTCGAAGAATTTCGAAGTACCCCGTCAGGGTCCGTTACGACGCGGATCGAAAGAAACGGTATGGAATACGTAAGGTGAATTTTTAAGCGTCATCCTCGTGGGTCGGATTTGTTATCGAGGCGTAAAGAATTCCTATTGCATAGCGTTCGCGGTACACCGATGCGAGATCGCAGATAAAACAGGTTGAACTTGCCCCCGATTCTACCACTTTACCGCGATTAAGTAATTACGAAGAGCGACGTAGAACCGGAAAGATTCGTTGCAAATGACAGAGTATCGCGCGCGCTACACACGGAACAAGAGTATCAACGAGATACGAATTGGCAAATATCGCGGATAAGCGGGAAACTGTTGTTCGGCAAATGGGAAAATTCTGCATGTTTCAACGAAGCAAGATCTATGGTGAAGTTGACGCGATAAACAGCCGATGCCATTTTACGACGATATCGAAGGTAAAAGATAAAAGAAAATCTCGATGATGGAAGAATGGATGAAAAAAAAATCTCATTGGAAATTTTTGAACGATTCTGGCTCACCGTCCGGCAAGCTTATATAGTGATTTATGAATTATTTACACAATGAATTATTCATCGTCGGAAGATTGGTATACTCGCAACACTCGATCGTACCTGATATGCAATTTGAAAAGGAGTTTGTAGCGAGGTACGATATGCGCGCTTGCGCGCGAAACATTATATTTAAATGCCATATCGTCTCGACCAGGATGGATGCGGGCTCTCGTGCGCGTTCATCGATAAAATAACCAGCAACGATCGCAAACTGCTGCTTTCGTCGTCGTATTGTTATATCGCGTGTAAAAGGAAACGACGGCGAAAACGGTAGAAAAGAGAAGAAAAAGAGAGAAGGGAAATTGGTGAAACGGTAGTCGATGGATCCTCGTCAAATTTCCTTCGTCTCGCGTTCTTCGTCGTCTTTGCCTGCACCTAGCGAGACACGCGCAGTTAAGAAAAACGTTGGATACAAATTTTGCAGAATCTTCGACAGACAATGCGCCGAGTGCGACGCTGAGCGACGAAGCTGAGATTGACTATTGATGAGACTATTAGGAGGAATTCGATAGTCGTTGATATTGTTTTTCAAGTGCCGCCCTTCTGCGCTCTCGGTTTTCTCGTCTTTTTCTCTGGTCGTTCAGATCGGTCCGAGCGTGTCTCTTGACTCACGCCGTCGCGTCGCGTCGGTCTCTTTTTCGCGTTGCGATAATGATAGTGCGGAGCGTGAGCAAAGTTCGTCCATCCGGCTATTAATGCGCGTAATCATAGAGTCAGGGCCGTCGGTGTTAATAATGCGTTTTCGAATCTGTCAGAGCGAGAACGAACACCCACGCAGTCGATAGATAGCGCGTCGTCATCGTAGCTGGCGTGTAAGATGAAAAACCTTTGCATCCGTGTTCGTTCGCTCGTGCCGCCTAGTATTTTTTATTCCGACCAATCGCAGCTTCGCGGCCTCGCGACTCGCAAAGGAACGCGCAAGCGCACGCGCGCCTTCTGCCCCCATTTACCGCGATTCCACGATTAATTATCCAATTCGCGCACTTTCTGTTCCGCAGAGTAACGACTAACTAAACTCAAACATCTGCTCTTCGATCGAACCGCATTAGCCTCGATCTTCTGACATTTTACAGCTCCTTCACGAGGAAAAACATTGCGCATACGAGATTTTGCAGGATCGGCTCGGTTCCAGAGATCGAAGACGCATAGATGTGTTGGGTCGGCAACTAAGTGATTGCGGACTTTGTCAATACAACCTAATGACAAAATCCGTAATCACTTAGTTGCCAACCCATGAGATACGACGAAGGCGCGAACGAGGGAAACGCGCGGTTTTCCGGTTTCTCGCGTCGTATATTCTAATTATGGGAAACGAATGATAGAACGAGATCGGCAACGGTGTATCGACAGGTTTATCGTTCGGTGTATTTATCGAGTGCCGAGGCAAATGGAAGGCGAAAGATGAATGAAAAGCCGTGAGCAGGAAAGCGGCCATAGCGTTGGCGGTAACGAAGCGTAGCGCGCAGAAGCGAGCTCGCCGAATCAATCTGGCGAGGCCACACCCTCTGACCTAAAGCCGTATTATCGCGATAAATGCGCGGGCAAATGTCAGCCGTGCGCACTGTCGGCCATTTTTCTCCAAAGCTTTCGACGAACGACCTGCCAAAATCGTTGCATCGACCTCGCGCGACCGTACTCGCGTCCTCGACTATCGCCACGCGGATTACTCGCTCGCTCGCTCCGCTGTCTCGTCCTCGCGTCGCTTTCTTAGGACTCGAAATAGCGAACGAGCAACGCGATGGTCGACCAGCGCTTAATGGCGCTACGAATCGAACTCGAGGCAGCTTCATTTAGGAGCCAACACGATGGAAATTAAGGGACGCGCAAATATCTGACTTCACAGGAAAAACCCGTGCACGTGGCTGCTACGTTCGACTGGAACAGCTCGTCTGTGACTTCGCTCCGCAGCCAACTCGCCGCTAAGATCGCGTCACCAGGACTCGAGAAAGAGGAATGCGTATGCAAGTTGTACGAAAATAATGGTGACCGTACAACAGTGTCCTTTCTCGTACGGCAAGCCGGTAATTTAGTTAAATGATGGCGCGAGATGGGCGACGCCTGTGGCCCGAACAACCTACCATTCGAGTAAGAAGAAGAGGAAGAAGAAGAGGAGAAAGAAAGTTTTGGGACCAAGGCGAAAAGAAAGAAACTGAGGGGGCGTGGCACAATCAAGGATTAAGTTCAGATGCAAATTTACGTTTCTCGAGAATGCCACTTGCCACGGCTCCTCCCTCGAAAATCGATCAATCCCTCGGCTCCGGTTCGCCAACTTTGCAGTTTCGACAAGCTGCCCGCGTCCTTCTTTCGTCCATCACGCGCACAAATTTCACATGTAGCGGCTCATCAGTCGATGGAAGATTCGAATCGGTAGAGACTCATATTCTTGTGCCTCGGAGTGCCAACGTTGTTTCGATTCGCTAGGTTTAAAGGTAGACTCCGGACAAAACATTATCGCCGGAGTTACTCCAACTATGGGGAACAGCAAGTAATTCCAACATAGAAATTCTTCAACGATTCCAATGGAAAACTCTAAGATCCTTAATAGATGCACCTTGGGTATGTTACCAACGAAACAATACATCGCCACCTCAAGATACCCACAGTCAAAGAAGAAATATGCAAATCAGTAATAGATATAGCATAAGAGTCAACAACCACGAAAACCCACTAGCTACTCAATTACTCGACACGTCGGATCAGATCCGCAGGCTAAAAAGACATCTAGATTCAAGCACTAGATTCAATTAGAATCCAACACACGATAAACACTTATTAAACACGACATAGTAGCACGCGAGAAAAACTTACTTGTAAGAGAAATTTTGGTTTTTCCGTCCCTTTTATTAAAAGTTCTTCTTGCCGAGGATTCGAACTCCTCGCGACGCGTCGTCTTCAGTTCTGAGCCTTAACGAGCATAGCTGGCTGCCCCGCCAAAAACTTACTTATAATTCTCAATGAGAATTGATTGCAAAATTCATCCGGAGTTACGTTTGAACTTACGACTGACTATTGCAATTTTATCACTCGTCTTTTTAACAAACCAACGCGTATAATAATCCACATCAGATATCGTCGCGTGCGATATCGAGACGAGGCGACGTCCATTCGGAAGATAACCAAAGATCGCGACCGTAGAAAAGAACAGGAAGCTGCCAGCCAGACCGATGACCTACATATCGAGTAGCCAACTACTTATTTCGCAAGTTTGAGTAGTTGGAACAGGGGAAACGTGAATTTGCTTCGTGCTACGGACAAAGGAGCGGAGTCTGCACGTACAAAGTCGTAAAGGAAGACAGCTACGTGGTTCGAGTGATGGCGGAGCTAGGCGAGGCAAGGTGAGGATTTATCCAAACGACGAAAGAGGAGAAACGATAGCGGTCGACGAAGAACGGTATCGCGAAACGCGGAACAACGGCTAGAGAAGGCTACTACGTTTGGCAAAGAGAGAAGGAAAATACCATTCATTCGCCTATGTAGGAATTTTCGGATTCGATGTTCGTGCAAAAAGGGAAG